CTGAAGCCGCAGGCTGGCCTCATCGTGCCCCAGGCGGTGCCGTCCTCCCAACCAAACATAGCGGTGAGTCCCCGTGCTGCCCATCTCGGCGCTTTTTTGATCCCTCTCTGCCAGTTTTCACTCCTTTCCCCTGCGTTTCCTCCTCTGGATGTCACCAGCTTCCTTCTCCGTCCCGTGCAGGGAGCTGGGGACGCCATGGATCTGGGAGAGCTCGCGGGTATGACCCCCGAGATCATTCAGAAGGTAAGAAGGCATCTTCTGCTTGCGCTTCCACAGCCTTCAGTGGCGCCTCTCCTCCAGATTTCCCCCGTGTGACCACTCTTCTCTTGTTTTACAGCTTCAAGACAAGGCCACGGTGCTGACCACGGAGCGTAAGAAGGTAAGCGGCACCGCTTTGCTCCGAAGACACTGTGACGGCTGCGCCATGCCGTGCCCCAAGAGGGGACAACGCTCATCTCGGCACCGTTTTCCTTTTGCAGAGAGGAAAGACGGTTCCAGAGGAGCTGGTGAAGCCCGAGGAACTCAGCAAGTACCGGCAGGTCGCCTCGCACGTGGTGAGTGTCAGGGTCTATGGGTGAGGGCTCGATAACTCCCCCGCGTCGCTGGGCGTCTGGACCTCCCCTGTGTCGATAAATGACAGATCTGAGCAAGGAGAGGGCGTGGGTGTGTCACAGGCTCTCAGAACAAAACACCCTGGGCTCCCTCGAGGGCCACTCAGTTCTCTTCGGGGACGTTTTCTTGCTTGTGGCATTAATCCAGCGTTGTCCTGCCTCGCACAGGGGCTGCACAGCGCCAGCATCCCCGGGATCCTTGCCTTGGACCTCTGTCCTTCCGACACCAACAAGATCCTCACCGGTAAGAAAGCCTCTTCTCTACTTGCTGGGGATTGCATGAACAGGGAGCAGGACCCTTTCACCCTTTCTCTGTGCTTTTTTTGGGGGGACAGAGGTGGGATGAGAGGCGTGATGGATTCGTGCCCGGGAAAGGTGGGTGGACGTGGGACACCCATTTCTCACCACTCTCTGCTTTGTTTTCCAGGTGGGGCTGACAAAAACGTCATTGTCTTTGACAAGAGCTCGGAGCAGATCCTGGCGACCCTCAAGGGCCACTCCAAGAAGGTCACCAGTGTCGTTTTCCACCCGTCTCAGGTGCGCTCAGGCCTCTCTTTGGCCTCTTCCCTCACAGCCAGGCTGCCCCACGTCAGGTTTTCTGATGCTGTGTTCCGGGTGGTGTCTCCTCCTCACGCAGGCTGGTGCTGGGTGCTCTTTCCGATGGAGAGGTCAAGATCTCCTGACATGAACTTTCCTCTGTCTTTCTAGGACTTGGTGTTCTCAGCTTCTCCTGATGCTACCATCCGGATCTGGTCTGTGCCCAACGCCTCGTGCGTGCAGGTCGTCCGTGCTCACGAGGGCTCGGTCACGGGGCTGAGCCTCCACGCGACAGGCGACTACCTCCTCAGCTCTTCTGATGACCAGGTGAGACCCAGCCCTGAGTCACAGAACGCCCCTCAACTTCTCATCTCTCTGTACTCATTTCCTCTCTTCCAGTACTGGGCTTTCTCGGATATCCAGACAGGCCGTGTCCTCACCAAGGTGACAGATGAGAGCTCTGGCTGCGGTAAGGCTCACGGCTGCGTATCCCCACCTCTGGAGAGAAGGGATTTTTCTGTCTGGGTTGCTGGAGCTCGGAAGAACTCTGGGCAGGGGGGCTGCTAACGAAGCGACAGAGTCTCCCCAACCTTCCGAACCTCCCCCTGTGTCTCCACAGCTCTCACCTGCGCCCAGTTCCACCCGGACGGGCTCATTTTTGGAACAGGGACGATGGATTCTCAGATCAAGATCTGGGATCTGAAGGTAGGGCTGGCCCTGGGTGTGTGTGTGTCAAGAGGACAGGTTGGAGGGGTGTTGAGGCCAGTTGGGGGCGACTTTGGGGACTCTCTTTTGAAGTTTGTCAGCGACAGATTG